TAAAGAAAATAAATAAATAATAATAATAATAATAGTAGGTGTCAGCTTCGCCTCGAAAATGGGTAAAAATATTACATTTCCATGTCAGATTTCTCACTGCTCTTGCTTCATGCTTCGGGCATTAACTCTCTCTCTTTATTTTGATTATGTGACGTGTAACAAAATTATTGATGAAATTATCGTTTTTTAAGGAATAAATGAAATGATCAGAGTGGTGAGGATAATGGTTAAAAGGGTACATTATACAATTTTAAAATCCTATTTTCGTCTCTTACCTTTCATATTTCATACTTGTTTTTTTTTTTCTGGTTTCTAAATTTTTTAATAGTTTATTTTTATTTTAATATTTTGCATAAAAAAATGTTTTAGTGCTTTATAATTAATCTTTCCTTAATCGTGTTACACAATCTGTTTTTTTTTTCTCCTTTTTTTGGGAAGAAACTTAGATCCATCTAAATTAGGATTCCAATAAAATTTTGAAAAATCAACCCCAATCAATTGAAATCGATTGTACGTATTGGCACTGTGATAAGAGACTTACTCAAGATCCAGATTCGAGCCCTCCTGTATCCAGAAGTCAAAATAATAATAATAATAATTTCATGGTTGCCATACAGGTGCCAACTAATAGTTGAAAGATAATATGATCTTCACCCCTTGAAATGAGTCTAAATATTATGCGAAAAATTATAATATAATGACGTGTATAAATAATTTTTTAATATTGATAAACCCTACATTTTTAATACGATGCTATCGTGGGATCAGAAATTTTCTCAAATATTACATTCCCAGTCAGCATGGTTAGCTTTAGTTCATTAGATTATTCAATGTCATTGCTTCATGCTCGAGGCATATATATATATATTTTATTGTTGTGGGTAAGTTTGGGCAGAATTTCACTATTTACTACTACAATAAGATTATTGAAATTATCATGATGGTGGGGTTATTGGTAATAATGGTACAATAAACCATTTTAAAATTGTTTCTTATTAGGCCTCGCTTAGCGATAATTGGCAAATACCTCCAACCTGAATCCTCCAACTTATTGTATTAAAAAAAAAAAATTTCTTACCTTTTATATTTGCTCTCGTTCCTAAATTTTGTATAAAAAATTATTTTATTCCTTTATAATTAACTTTTAATTAATTGTGTAATAAAAAAATGTTTTTAAAACAATGTGCAACGAAAACTTAAATTTAAATTAGGATTGTCTATAAATATTTGAAAAATCGACTCAATCTATCAAAATCGATCAAATCAATATCAACTGATCGATTTATACTACGGTTTGATCAGTGTTAGTCGGTCGAAATGGCCAAAACAAGAAAGGAAATTGACCGTTTATTAATTAAAAGAGAAATTTCATTGCATGTGTCGAACCTATCCTTTTAACATTAATGTGGAAGGATTTTGACAAAACTAACAGAAGTCTCATCCTCCGTCGTAAACTCCATCTCTCCCCTTCTATCTCTTTTTATCTTCTTCCTCAACAAGTTCTTTACTTTTGTCTCTCAGCTTCCCTCCCCTTTTCTTAGCAATGCCAACCATTCTCTCTTCAGCCTCCTTTCCCTTCTGGCTCTCTGCTTTGATTTTGGCCAAAATTGACCCATTGTCAGTTTGATCGGTCGGTTGGTTCCATAGTTGCTATCAAAACTCAATCGACTATACATCGATCAAAATCGAATTGTCGGTATTAGACATTGATTTGTGGCCAAAACTAACATTGATTAGTCGATGTGCAATACTAATCAAACATCTCATTATATGTATTTTCAAACACTTGCCCACGACTTTAACAACAAGAGCTTAGTCAGCATAGCTCAATGGTATTGATATATATCTCCAATCAAGAAATCGTAAGTTCGATACCCCACATCTAAAAAAATTAACTTAAACATGAACTTTAACTCAAATATAATTTATACCTATTTTTGTCCGGTTGTAATTATTTTTCTAATGGGTGGGCCCAACTAAATTTACGAGGTCGGTTTACATAGTACAAGGTGTTGTTGGGAATTTAGGCAATTTTCAGTATTCTATTTCAAGCATATTACGTTTTCCAAAGGGAATTTCAATTTATGGAATTATATTTTCAACCAATACATATTTTTTAATTGATTGATTGAATTTTAAGAAATTAAAACTTTGATACTCGAGCTAATTAAAGTTTATTAGTATTTGAACTCATGCTTCTGTATGCATATTCTTCATTCATACGACTTAATTAGGATGAAAAAACTTCTAATATTAGAAACTTAAGTCGCTTATATCTTGAATTTAGGTAACCAAAATCTTGCGGTAAAAAGAATTAATTGATTATGTATGAAGTGGTATTTATGATATGACATTTGCCAAACATGCCCGTTCTAATACGATTCTTCTTTTCTTTTGTTTTTTTTTTTTGTCATGATATCGACCTTTACCTAATATTTAGTTAAACGTAACTTTAGTTTAAACATTAGTCGATGAAAAAATATTGTGAAAATGTCTGAAGTCGAAAAGGAAAACAACTATTTAAAAGCCATACATCAAACGAAACTTCTAGAGAAATATTTTAGATCGATGGATACAATTTTGAAAGTAATTAAAATCAGCTTTTAAAATTTTAGAGAGGGAGAATATTCTTTTTATAACAAATATAACATTCAAAGACAAAAAACTAATTAAATTTATAGCAACTGAAGTTGAAATAGGATCCATTATCCAATGTATATTTTGAATTTTTTTAAAAATTACTCCAAAAAGTTTAATTTTTAAATTAAACGATAAGAAGTTAAATTTAGAAGATATTTTGTGAAATATCCGAGTAAACGAGTAATTAAATCGAAATAATTGAAGTGGGGTCCACGGAATTATATATTTTTTTTCCTTAATACAAAAAGCCATCAAGTGAAGCCCAGAGTTGGTGAATTGTTACATCATAGAAGCCCAAAACTGTAATCCACTTATCATTAAGGTTTTTCTGATTATTTTTTTTTAACTACTTTTCGTCTTTTAAACTTGGATTTTTAAAAAGTCAATAATTTATGATAGTTGTGTTTATTGATTGTCAAATATTTCTTGATAATGAAAAATGTTGATTTATATTTTTATAATTACTTTCCTGTTTTGTATGTTTGATTTTTTACTCACCTGCTCTTTCTCTTCGATTATTATTTTTTAAATTAAAATATTATAACTTTCATTATCTCTCCTTCTAATTTCTTTTTCTTTTCCTGTTACTACATTGAATCTAAGAAAATGGCGAGATGATCAAAGTTGAGTTGACAAAAACAAAGAGGGAAGCGATGGCAAATCTTGGAGACCACGGTGGGGCGACACTGGCAGAGGATGAAGAAGAGAGAGGCTAGGCTTGAATTTCTACACATTGTGTACTTTTTGGTTCAAGGCATAATGTTTTATATTTTTCTATTAATTGTTCCAGTTTTCGGTATACAAAAATATATGATACTTGTTCATTGTTCACCCTGTTTATTCACATCGTATTTGTTTACCTCTTATTTGTTCATTGTATTTTTCATTATTCGAGCGTGCGTGCGTTTTAGTATTCATATTACTAATTGCATTCTGTTTATTAATGTTTATTATGTATATTTTTTAAGTATCATTTTTAATAATTATTTTCTTGTTTAAATTTTAATTTAATGAATATTTTTTTGTTTAAATTTTGGTCTCAGTATCTATTAAAGTAATGATTTGGCTTCTAAATTCTAGCTTGCAACCACTTAATCCATGTAATTTAAAATTAATAATAATTTTTATGAATTTTAATATATAACAACTTAACTCAATTTAAAGTTTATAATCCGATGAAGAACAAAATATATTTATAAATTACAAATACTAAATTATTATATAATAAGAACTTACACTTAATTTTGAATTGAGATTTTTTATAGTATATATTAATTTATTAAAATTTTAAATTACAGATACTAAATTATTATATACTAAAATTTTAAAATAAAAAGAGTAAATAATTATAAATTAAAAATTAAAGTTTAATGACTAAATAGTTATTTTAGAGCTTAAGGAGTATTTCTCTAACCAATTTTTAACGAGTAAAAAAAGATGAGAAAAATATTCAGTTACTACATTATTTATTAATTAAAGAAAAAACATTTGAATGACTTGCCCGCCGACAGAGGAAATCATTAAACATTTTGACGCGAACCAACGGGTCCCATTGACGACAGGTCGTATTATCGATTAATTTTCTAAGACTACTTTATTATATATATATATATATACTTTCTCCAAATTTTCGCAGACCATTTGAAAGAAAAAAAAAATCGCAGATATCGTTATTTCATTTTTATATTAAGTTTAATATTTTTTTTGGGTACAGAAGAGACTAGAATATAGGATTTTATTCTGTTATATCATTTGAAAGGATTATAACAAAGATATAGCTTTTTTTTTTTTTTTTAGAGACAGCAAAGATATAACTATTTTAATCATTGCCCACCGGAAAAAAATAGTTATTATTTTACTTTTCGACCAAATAGTACCTTGAAATCTAACAAAGAAAAAAAAATTATTTTTTTAGTGAGCCAGAAAAACGTATATATTTAAACTAATATAACTTGTCTACTCTAGATTATTAAAATAAAATATTAATTATAAAACTGATTTTTTAATTTATAAATAATTTGGCACATTTGATTTATGTTACTCTTAGCAATAAACATTTTAAAAAAATAATGAAATATTAATCAGTATGAGGACCGAAAATTCCTGACTTGTTATTTGAACCTCTCTCAAATAGTTATAATACTAAAAGAAAAAAACTAAATTAAAAGTTAGTTCGAATTAAATTAGGATAAAAATGTAATTTAAATATAAATTATGACTACAGATTAATTAAAAGAGAAAAAGGAAAAACAAATAACAAATTCACCATGAAGACCAGTTAGCGATGTCCAAATGGAAGTCACGTGCGAACGGAAGCGCTTTTCGCCGTCGGAAAGCATTTGTCGTAAAAGTCGGTCGCCTTTTTTTCCATGTTTCTTCGTTTTCACCTCCCACTTCCAAAACTTTCCTTCATCTTCTCGTCTTCTTCCTCCGTTTCTTCAATCATTCATCTACTTCTGAAGATCAAAATTAACAGAATTTGGATTAACGAGAAGAGAAATTTCAACTGATTATCTTTCTCTTCGTTTTTTGTTGCGAAGATCTCGTCTACTTTCCGCTTCACTCTGGTGTGCTGCGTTCTACGTGCTTTTGTTGGAATCAGAACATTCTTTTGTCTTTACGATCGAGTTTATGTGACGAGAGTTCCATCTGATCCGCCGTTTTACTTGGAGGATTGAGTATGATTTGATCGAGTGGGATCGCGTTTGGTTTAGTTGCTTTTGATTGTTTAGTATGGAGGCTTTTCGGAAGCAAGCCAGCAAATTCAGAGAACAGGTTGCCAAGCAGCAACAGGTCACTTTCGCTTTCATTCTCGTCGGTCTTTGGAAATACTTCTGAATTATGGACTGCTTTGTGATTCTATATCTCCTTGCGAGGAGCTCGATTGATCTTGTTTTGCTCGTATTATGTTTGTTGTGTTGCAGGCACTGTTGAGACAATTAGGGCATTTTGGTACGGAAGCGATCCTGGCTGATGAAGCTGAAGTTCAGTGCCATCAGCAGCTTCAGAATCTTTACAATTCCACCAGAGCAGCTAAGGTAGAGTTTTAGTAGTTTTTCGAATTTCGCAGTATGCTCTTTACTTCCGAATTCGAGAAAATGTGATTCGATGAACCAGAAGTTATTCCTCTGTAGTTTTGTGTAAGCTTGGGTGTTAATTTCGCTTTGTTCTTATGTACTTGGTTTCTTTATCTTGCGCTGTTCCGCACCTCTCTTTGAACTTCAATTGGCTCGTATTTAATTACGATCTTATCGGAAAAAAACGTTGATATTATTTTGACCAGTTATTGACAAATTGAAATGATTGCATTGGTCAGCATTTTCAGAAGAATATTGTTCGAGGTATTGAAGGTTTTATTTCTTTGAGCTCAAAGCAAATGGCGATCGGTAAGGATTTTGTTTTTGTTTTTATTGTTGCCTTCTCTCTCTTCTTCCTCCTGAAACTTCTCTTTCTATTATGCATTTAGTTTCTCGTTTGAGATGTATTAGCTTTATCTATGTACTTAAACACATATAAATATCCAGTGAGAAGGTTAGCTGACGATTGTTGCAAATATGGATCAAATAATCAAAGTAGCTGTCCTGCCCTTGCAACAGCTGTTCTTAATTTCAGTACGTCCCATAATTCAATTGAAGACGAGAGGGAGACTTTACTTGGAATCCTGGTTGATCAGGTAATTTTCTCCTGTGTGGTTATGTGGACCATCGAATTGAGAAAATCCTTTAGCATGCTCATGTACATACATCCTACTTTTGATGTTATATTTTTACGCTTACTGTTTTGTGTACTTCTGCCTGTTTGTAAATGTTCATAGAAATTCACGTGTTTGTATGCATGTTTCTTGCTATTTGGTTTATATATGGGAAATATTATTACGTCCTCATCCTGAAAAATTAGATTAAATGAACTTTCTCCAAGAACATCTACTATAGCTGATGAAATGTGGAAAGAAACACGTCTCTTTATATAATATCGTTTATGTTTCTTTGCGTACAAAGGTTACTTGAGTGGTTGGTTTTGATGTTCGTTGTGATTGCTTACAAGCGATTGGCACTGAACTTTCACATGGAATTGAAATAGTTCATAACTTATAATGAAGAAATATTATAGAAGTCTCGAGCATCTAGTATTATCCCTTTTCTCTTTTCTTTTTTATGTTTCTAATTGTGATGCAGGTATAAACTTCAGGTATGTGAACCTTTGCGGGCACAAATAACAGGGGCACCTCTGGAGGATGCTCGTCATTTGACTCAGCGTTATGATAAACTGCGACAAGAAGTGGAAATCCAGGTAATACTCGATCATGATTTCGAAGTTACATGTATGACTGCAAAGGAGTTATAGTGAATTGAATATATTCTCTTCAGGCAGCCGAAGTTTTGAGACGCCGAGCTAAATCAAGAGATTCTTCTATTTCAGCCGAGGGTGCCTCGAAACTTCAAAATGCAGAAGTAAGATTAACTGAACTTAAATCTACAATGGTGGCTCTAGGTAGAGAAGCAACCGCTGCTATGCAATCAGTTGAGGCCCAGCAGCAACAAGTAACTTATGAAAGACTTCGTACTATGGTATTGTTACATTATGTACTCTTTGCCGAACGTCATGCTAGTCCAAACCTTGTTATATTATTTGGATTATTTATCTATACAGGGATTCATTAAGAAATCTACCTAAAACCATGCTGTGGTAAATTCATTTTGTAGGTGGACGCGGAGAGATCTTATCACCAATATGCCCTTACTAATTTAGAAAGGCTGAATGATGAGGTTGGTTACTTTCCTCAATGGCTTTGCCGCTATTTGTAGTGAAAATGTACCCACCTTTTCACTTCTTAATTACATTTGGTTGTGTTCTGACAGGATCCTCTTTACGCTTACCATTTTCTTATTTCCTGTTTATATGAGAAATATTATGACGGCATGGTTTCTTCCATTGTTTATTATTGGAGGCCAGTTAATTCTGCTGTCGCAATCAGATGGGTCTCTGTCACAACCAACAATTAGAAATGGAGAAGAAGATGATCAGCCATCTGAATCCAAAGATACGAAGTCAAATGAGTCTGATGCTCATGGGCCTCTTGATGAAAATAAGGGCCACTTTATTGCAAAAGTAAGCTCTCTGAACTTTCTGGGGTCTTGTTCATGCACATTGCACCATCCCGTCCCCCACCACATCCTAAATTATGAGAGGAACTAAAATCCAAATCCATGAACAATAAGTTAATAACATGTGAGAGTATTTGGCTTGGAATCTCTCAATCATACTAGTTTAGAGGTCTCAAGTTTGAATCATCGAGTGAGTTTAATGCAAAAGACTCATAATATCTCCTGGGTCCGAGCCTTGGGGCGGGCATGGGTGCCTCGGGCATAGGAGAGCAAAGCTCTGACTCCAGATTATTAAAAAAAAAAGTGAGAATATTTGTCATTGTTCTGGCGTCTCGTGTTCGTTAAGTTTCCCATATTTACCATCCCTAACTAAATAATATACATGTTAAACATGTGTGAAATAATGTTCTTGGGAAGAGGTAGTGAACTCTAAGTTGAACATTGGATAAGCTCACACATGAATGTAAATACTTGAGGCAAAAAATGATCAATGTATGTGAGGTCATTAGTCTTTGAGTTCTTAGAATCATTTGTCCACTCATAATATTTTTTATGCATAACCAAAACCCCATTTCGTGTTTTCATCTCGCTGCTGGTGTTCCAAATAAATCTCATGCTGAATACTCGACATATTCATTCTGTAGTCATGTTGCTTTTAGTTTATATTACAGCCTGGGTCATCTTACAGGTTATCCACGCATTTGATGCTCAAGCAGAAGGGGAATTAAGTTTAACCGTTGACGATTACGTTGTGCTTCGTCAGGTACTACTTTTGCATAATTTCAAGGAATAACACCAAAAATTATTCGTTTTCCATATTTGTTTTCATCAATATGATAACTCAAAACCAAATTTCCTCTCAAGTGCATAGCAAGATATATCATGAATCATGATGATACCTAACATTAATGAATACACGATTAACTTTTCATTTGGATTTTTCTGTGAATGGTTCTTGATGCTTTTATCAGGTGTGGCCTAACGGATGGTCCGAAGGAGAATGCAAAGGAAAAGCTGGATGGTTTCCTTCTGCATATGTAGTGAAGCAAGAAAAGGCACCGACAAACGAGTTATGCCAAGTACAATCGACTTCTCGATCCTTATCTCGCTCTAAATCCCGATAAGGCTCCCTCACTATTACATTTTCTGTGTTCATTGTGATATTTGTCATGTTCAATACCAACTCCTTTTCTTATTCATTTTTCATAAATGTGCAGAAGAAGAGGGTGTGTTTTTTGTGAAGTAAAAGTAGATGGTCTGTAATTTTTAATATATCCCTCAAGCTCAGATAAAGCCTGTCTGTATTTAGTATGTATTATTTATTTCTAAATCTATTATTTGGTTGATTGATTGATTGATAATCCTTTTAAATTAGGTTTGCTTTCGGTTATAGCTGAATCCTATTGCCAAAAGAAGACAGGTCAAGTACAACTGTCCCATTCTTTGAATTCTTGAATTGTTCGACATTTTCCCTTTGTTTTTATGTTCTTCTTTGTCATTGATAGAAAATTTACCATTTGGCAATATTCCTCGTCTTGAAGAACATTACCAAAACTTTCCATTCTGAAAAGAAATGAAAAATAAGTGAAGAAAAAAAAAGGTTTGGAATGAGTCTCTTTTATTAGGTTTAAATATTATTTTAATCTTGAAAAATTTCATACTTATATTTTGAATTGTTTTGTTTCGGCCCCTTTTTAAGTTTTTACAAAAAAAAAATAATAATAATAATAAATAAAAAATTGTTTCAATCCTTGTGGGTTAAATTTTCATTAGCATAGAGGTTACCAATGATATATATTTCAAAATACAAAAATCATTGGAAAAACATTTAAGAATAACAAAGACTGAAATTAGATTTAACCTTTTTTTTTTTATTTAGATATATGTTTTAAGCTATAATGTTTGGGTGTTGTTTTAGTTTAATTTTACTAGTTAAAAAGTTTCACTTTAGTCTCCTTATGTTTAAAATTTTTTAACTTAGTCATTAGCCATGATTTAAATTGGTTGATGATATAACAATAGTATGTTTTTGAATATCTAGATGAGAAAAAGAGTTCATCAATACAAGAAATCTTGAAATTTCTTAGGTACTTAACAGAGAAATTAGAAAATTTTATTTTCTAGATTATTATTTTCATCCTCTAAATTTGCGTGACACATGAATTTATTGAGATTAAATTGAAAAATATTAAAATTTAAATGACTTACTGAAATTTAATTAACAAAAAAAGGAAACACCTAAAGTCAGGTTATTAAATTTTTGTCGATATCTTGACATTTTTATATGTCCCTGGATTTGATATTGACACGAGAAGTGAGTCGATATTTTCATAGTATTGTAAAAAAATTTACAAAATATTTTTAAAATGTGAATAAAATATCATTGATATAAATTAAAATGTTTATTTGTTAATTTAAACATTTGTCAAAATTTTTATTTTTATAATTTTTTTAGAAGTATCTTTCGATGTTAACATTTTAATCAACATTTTGGAACTTTGATATACTTTTAGGTTGGCTATCTTGCTTATTCGCTTTGAATCTATCATTCGATAAAGTTCCTTTTGTCAGATACTCGATATATGGCTGTCTCAAATCCACTACATCGATAAATGTACATTCTGCTCGAGAGGGCATCCATGTGCATTTTAGACAAGCCTTTTCTCGAACTTTTGCATCTCTACTCATATCATATCAGGCTAGGGTCAATAGTAACTTTGTCTTTGCAATCTTAGTTTACCCGGTGTTGTTGTCCCACAGACCTTATCACAAACTTCTTCAAGTCTCTTTGATGCTTTTTCAACGCCAAAGCACCGAGCTAAAACCCTATCAGACATCTTTCAACCAAGAACTTGTGAGTTTAGTTACTCACCAATATTGTACTAAAATATAATAATAATAATAATAACGAGATGAAAAGGAAATGGATATAATCAAGCAGGATAGCTTTCGTATAAGAGCTGTTACAGTTGTGTTTCAGTTGTGACGACACTCAGACGGACCTCGAACTCTGCGAATGGCGGCACTGCTGCCCTCCGGCTCCGGCCAATGGCGCTCTCTCCGACTACGATGTCGCTCCTCCAGCCCTTCATCTTCCATGGCTCCCCGTTCTTCCTCTACCAACTACACCACCGGTTTCTGCTGCTGCCGGACAATCCAGACGCCCATGCCCCTCCCCCTTCTGCCGGAGCCACCCCAAGAAGATAAGTTTCCCAGAATTCCCCAGACGCCGCCGCCGCTTCGGCTCGCCGCATCGGCGGTGGTCTTTCTCAGTTTGAGTATTGGTTTCGGCTTCGGACCTCGATCCTGCTCTGCGGCGGCTTCTTTGCTGGTGCCGCCTTCTCCCGCGGCCGATTCTTGTAACTTGGAGGAGGAGAAGGTAGTTCCTAGTAAGTGCCGGAAAGTTGCCCTAATGTATGTTACCTACTTTTGGCAGTGTCGATCAAAGATTAGATTTAATGAATTTTAGGATAATTGTTCGGAATTTCAATTCGAGGGCTTTGTGTAGAACTATTGGGCTCGCTTGCCCTAGGTTTGTTGTTTTGAAGTCTTACTTTCTGATTTATAGGCGAGGACGAGAAGCTGGAAATGAAGAAAATGGATGAAGAATTTGAAGAATGGAAGTCTAAGAAGTTTTCTTTAACCGTTCCTTTGAGTGTCGTTGCTCTTCGTGACTCTGTTCCTCCTTCATGGATTAAGGTCCATCTGAGTTCCCAGAGTTTTGCATTTTCCTTATAACTCAATTGTTAGCACATTTCAAAAGGTTATGGAATCTCAGTATATGGCTGTCTTTTTCGATTGATGGATCGTATTATTTATAACGATGCCAAGGTTATGACCTTTTAGAATGACAAATTCTAGAAAAAAATTTATTCAGGAGTTATTTTTCTTACTGCTGCGTTGAACATGTTGGTCTGAGTTGGGAAAATTTCTTATTGGTCTTTGCATTCAGGAGTTTATTCAGTCACAAGGAAAGAGATCAAGATTCTCTGTGAAGTTCAACGGAAGTCTTGAGAGTATTTTTTCTGATTTATCTGTTCCCACTGGCAAAAGCAAGGCTAAGTCTTCAGCTACCATGGTTGCTGATGTTGTTAGTATCGGTGATTCCTGGCTCAACATTGCAATTAAGAAGGCTCTTATTGAGCCCATTCAAGGTGTGGAAGAGCAGGAGTGGTTTAATAGCTTGAGCACTAAATGGAAGGTAATAATGTAAATAGCCTTCTTGGTCCTTGGATGGTTAATTCTGAATACTTGTTTGCTAATAATTTTAGTGTTTTTATTCTGTTTCCATGCTAAATATATGAAGTGTTATTCAAGTAGTGGTGTTCAACACTGGCTCAACTATATGGACTTAGTTTAGCTTTGAAATCTGATATAACTAACTGCAAGCAGTAGATCGTCGATTTTTGAAGAGCCAGCTCAGTGTCTTGTCCTTTTTGGAAGATCGAGATCGTGTCTTATTAAAATTTTTACTTCATATGGAGTTATTTTTCTTGTTGAATCTACCGTGCCAAAATGTACACATGTTGCAAGCATTTTTTTAAGAAGAAACAAAACGTTCCATCGATATAGTGAGAAAAAGAAACTTAATCCCTTTGCATCTCTAAACTGACCCCATTCCGCCATAACTCTTCACTCTTTGTCTATTTGATATCTACGAGCGTGGGCCAGCTTGCTTGTACCTCGACTAGTCTCTCAATTGTAACTCTTCTTAAAAAACCATACAAAACCTTGCAAATCCAGAAGATTATTGCATGCATCTTTTATTTTCTCTAACAATGTCGCAGGTACTTCTATGCAGGAACTCCGAGGGTGAAATAGATCCTGAAGGTAAAATTTGGTCGGCTCCATATAGATGGGGCTGTGTTGTTATAGCGTACAATAAAGTCCAATTTCGAAGGCACAACTTGGCTCCAATGGAGGTACTAACTATGAGTAGATTACTTTTGTCCTACATTGCTGTTTTTGGTATGGAGTTTCGTTTGTTTTATGTACACAAGTATTACTCACTCTGTCTAAATGTTCTAGAAAATAAAGTTGAGCTTTGCTATATCTCAAGGGCAATTTCCTTCAAGTACTCTTGTATCTTCCTTTCTGCAAGAAAGGAAGATTTTTGTGGCAGGCTTGTTTCTTTGTGATTTTACGGGGGATTTGGTTGGGAAGAAACAACAGAATCTTAAGGGTGGAGAGAGATTGGGAGTCTGTTTGGGACTTCATAAGGTTTAATGTCTCTTTATGGGGGCTATTTTGAATTTGTTTTGTAATTACCGGTTAGATTTTATTCTTTTGGATTGGAAGCCCTTTCTTTAGACGGACTTCCTTTTTCTGGGCTGTTATTTTGTATGCCTTTGTTTTTTGTATTTGTTTTCATTTGCCTCAATGAAAAGTTCGGTTTCTTATAAAAAAATAATAATAATAATAAATAAATAAACCTTCAAGTACTCTTAGGTGTCTTAATACTACTGCTGCAGGATTGGTCAGATTTATGGCGCCCTGAACTTCGGGGAAGGATTTCGATGGTCGATTCACCTAGAGAAGTAATTGGTGCTGTTTTAAAGTACATGGGTGCATCCTATAACACGAAAGACATAAGCTTGCAAATTCCTGGTGGTAGAGATGCCGTCCAGCAAAATCTAACTTCACTTGCAAAACAGGTCAGATATGTCTAGTATATTGCAACTACTAAAAGACTATTACTCGCAATAATCGATGCTTTTGGAACTGACTTTTCCTTTAGAATTTGAAAAGGGTTCTTTATATAAGAGTTACTGTTGTTTTCCCCCTCCTGAAAATGCTATTACCATGAATCCCTGGCTCTGGTTTAGCTCTTAGATTACTGATGTATAATTTATTTTGAAAAGAGAAATACCAGAAAAAGAGGATGAGATATCATCCTCTACTAAAGAAAAGGAAAATTACAAGATAAATTAAGGCATCCAGAATTGAAAGAAAAGTGACCCCAAAATCTAAATGCCTTACATTCTTAGACCTACAGAATCTGAGTTGGTAGTGATTTGGCAAATGATACAATCTCAAGTACTCATTTCACCCGGATTTATTAAGCATTACAATTTTGTTCATTGTTATGCACTTGTCTCACACAGGTACGTTTGTTTGATAGCACACACTATCTGAAAGCATTTGCAGTTGGAGATGTGTGGGTTGCGGTTGGATGGAGTAGTGATGTTCTTCCTGTTGTCAAACGCATGTCCAATATTGCAGTGGTCGTCCCGAAGTCTGGATCGAGCTTATGGGCTGATTTATGGGTATATTCAAATTGATCTCTGTCCTCTTTGCAATAGAGATACATAAAAATAAGGTTTGAAGTCACTTCTTAATGTCAACTAGCTTTAGGTAGAAATGCACAATGCTCCTTGATGGTAGAACCCACGTTTTCTTCATTCAAATGTTTCGGGTTCTGTGGTGGTGTTCTTTATCAGATATGTTCTGTTTCTTCAGGCAATTCCTGCAACCTCCAGAATTGAGACACAGCCAGTTGGTGGAAGAGTTAGGGGACCCTCCCCTCTGATCCACCAGTGGATAGAATTTTGCTTGCAGACTGCTCGAGCACTGCCTTTCAAGCAGGAGGTAGTTCCTGGTGCATCGCCAGCCGCCATAGACGGTCCTGTAGCTGTTCCTGAAGAACTGTTTGAAGGTAAACCCAGGCTGGATTCGAACCTTGTGGGCGGAGTACCCCCACTCGATATTCTGGAGAAATGTGAGTTCCTTGAGCCTTTATCTGATTCTAGTTTGGCTGATTACCGATGGTTGGGTGAGAATATGCAGAAGAAACCCGACCATCGTTTGATGGACAGAGTTCATGACGCTGTCTCGTACCTTGTAAGATTTGTTTCTGCAAATCAAAGCTTAAAAAAAACTCAACCGAAACACTAATCAACCAAGTGGCTTTTTGTTGTATTGAGCCACATGGGGCGTTAAAGAGCTCCGCTATATTTTTTTTTTTAAGAAACAATTTAATTGATGGTATGAAATTACCATCCAACAAAGTTACATAAAATCTCTTCGAGTTCAATTTTTGTATTAACTATTAAGGACCTTTTGGAGTCGCTGCTTGTATGATTATTCATGTTTTTAAGATATCTGAGAATAAGCATGGAAAATTGATGTGGCATAAAAATTATATAGTCTTACATTATGTCAATTGAACTCAAATTAATTTAATCCACGTGTAAGAGACAATATTTTGATTTGAAACATTGAGTTTTAGGAAAAATTATAATCTACATTATGTCAATTCAAGACAAATGCTAGCAAATTCATGATTTAACATAACCATCTTTTTACATGAAATTTATTCTAATACATATATATAAATTTACAAAAAATATCATTGGCTGAAAGCGATCCATTGAAATTTATACAATCGTTCATGTACACTTTAATTTAGAGGGGCAAGCTACGGTAAAATTACAAAGTGAATCGAATGATAGAGAGAGAACTTGGGAGAGATGATGAACAAATAGGCTGCTGACACGTGGAACTTCATTTACATGGGGAATAGAAGATCCGACCCACCCTCGCAAAATCGGTTGCCGGTTGGTTTTAGGAAAATAGCATATGAGAGCTCAAAAACCCCATCAGCTGCACAAGGCGTATCCGATAGTGTACTGGCTCGTTAATTTTCAGAAAGAAATCAGATTGAAGAGTTGGATCTTGAAGATGATAGGCCTGTCTGAGGCGAGCCATGGCTGTCGTCTCTCTACACGGCTTAATCGGTATCGTAGAAATCGCTTGGGCATGGAGTCATAACCTCAGGTTCCAGTAACTGGACCACCCTGTGCATGGTTGGTCGATCCTCTGGACTTGACGAAACACATTGGATTGCAACCGAAAGCAATGCGTCGAGGCCTTCTGTTTGGATGCCCTCACACTGTACATCGACGATTTCTCGTTGTCGATTCTCCGTGACCAGAAAGTTTAACTGGAAATAAAATATATGGGTCAGAACTAGAACAACCAACAAGCGAATGTGCAATTGTGCAAAGTGTAAATGGTATGTGATGAGGTCGTTTTGTATGAAATTGTTCAAACTAACTTTATGGTTAGATATGAACATCTTTCAATCCTCCAAGTTGGCTATAAAAAGGAACATTGATTTCTCACATAGATTCTGGCAGGAATGCATTAATTCATGTTATTTGCAAGTAAATGGTAGCAAAGCAGTTTGATGCATTCTTATATATGATTGAAACCAAAGGATAACTATATGAAAGCATGTTTCCAGAGCGGTTTCCTCCTTCCTTCTCCGCTCTGTCCTATTATCATTCCTAGATTTTACTCTATTTGTTAGCTGAAAGTCATTCAAATGTCGTTGAGTATGCTTACCAACTCCATGCTGAAAAGCATAGTGGCAGATTCTAAATTAACAAAAAATTAATTATAACATAAAAGAATAATTCGTAAAATGTAGAAGGAAAGAAGCATACCCAACCAACAATATTTAGGCCCTTTTCTATATACGATGCATCGGTGGGACGCTTGCCACTCAACACTTCCAGTACCAATACTCCAAAACTGTATACATCGGTCTTCTCTGTAGCTCTACCACTTTGCATATACTCTGCTCATAAAAACACAAGTATCAACGCAAATGTAATTCTCTTTCAGTTTTTAAGGACTTAGAGAAGATTAACTATTTCATTATCCCAGATAAATGATTTTTTTTATTTTATAACTCGGAATCAGAGCTTTACTTCCCCGTATCCAGGGGCACCTGCACTCGCTCTAAGATCCGGTCCTATGAGACATCAAGCGTTTTTTATATTAAGCTCATCGGAAGGTTCAAACTTGAGACCTAGAAGCCAATATGACTAAGAAGTCTCAAGCCCTTGCCAACCAGATTACCCCTGGGAGGTTAGTTCCAGACAAATGATTAATGATTGGGATCCTATCAATTCAAAATTATATGAACCAATTATCAAATCAGGAATTCTCTAGTAAGAGATGATAAGGAATAGTCACTTGCAGTTAGTTGTTTAAGATGTGAATATGCGGAGGCAGAATAGTATATATGCCCTTTTGAATGTATTTATTCTCTTGTTCAATATATGCATTAGTAAAGCACCATCATTCTAAAACTTTTATAAGAAAAAAATCACATTTCAATCAGAAAATTATGCCCTTTTGAATGTATTTATTCTCTTTTTCAATATATGAATTAGTAAAGCACAACCTTTATAAGAAAAAAATCACATTTCAATCCCTTACCAGGAGCCAGATAACCGAGTGTTCCTGCAACAATAGTCGTGATATGTGATTCTTCATCCTCTAAAAGTTTTGCAAGTCCAAAATCAGAAACTCGAGCCTCCAAATTAGCATCAAGTAAAATGTTGCTTGATTTTATATCTCGGTGAATGATCCGTGGAGAGCAATCATGATGCAAGTATGCAAGTCCCTTTGCAGCCCCCATGATAATATTCAAGCGGGCATCCCAGTCTAGTTGCTCAGATACACCTATCATTTTCCACATATAAAATGCATTAAAGCATATTTGGAATGATATATCTAATAGTATATAGGCACATTCCTTATTCAGCCTCTCCTTTCGTTTGCCAAAATCTCAAACATCTTGTATATATGTTTTCCATCTACACTTGAGTTATTTCTTCTGTTTACATATTGTATCGAGAACAACACCTATCATTTTTCATAGATGAAGTGTCCTCGCAGAGCATGAGACAGAAATATTATAATAAGAATCTTACCGTGTAGTGCCTCATCAAGGCTGCCTCCAGGAAGGAAATCATAAATCAATAGCTTTGATGTAGGAGAATTGCAGTATCCTCGCAAATTCACAAGGTACCTGTGCTTCATGCTTCCAAGGATTTCGAGCTCTCTCTCGAAAAAACAATCAAATCCATCATTCAATTTTACAATTCTTTTCAAGGCAAAAACATTGCCATCATCCATTGCAAGCTTGTACACTGTTCCGAAGCCCCCACAACCGATTATGTGTTCTTCATTCAATGTCTCAAATTTCTTAATAATATCTTTGGATGAGTATGGCAAGTCTCCGTGAAACATTACGACCGAAGCACCTGAAGTAGCAAGATGGTATTAATTGACATTCAGAACCAGGTGATCCTTGAAGAACATGAGAAAAAGCTTAAATAAGCTATTCAATAGATAAACACCTCCACAAACGTCCAACACAAGCCCTTTACTGTCGTTTTTGCCGAACTTTTTATATAGAAAGCAACCCCAGAAACACATGAGGGCAACCAGCAGTAAAGCACCCACAGTTGCCGAAGCACTTATAAGTAGTCGGCCAGAGTACTTCCTCCTCCCAATTTGATTTTGCACTACAAAAGTTAGAACTCTTTATCAAAATATATTACCTCATGAAAAGCCAGAACAAAGTTACTCCGAAAAGAAGTCTTGATGTTGAGTTCAACAAGAACTTCACAAAACTCATAAACATATTAATTCATACGAAAGATAAGAACTAAATATTCCCTTATGACATACGCTTACTAGATCAGCTTTCCAAGCAAAATAGGAACTTAATAAACATATGAGATATTTGCTTGTGGCAGATAAACTGAAGTACAAGTTTACCTGAGAATGGTGACTCATTTGTTCCAGGTCCCTCTTTATCATCGTTGCACATAACATTTATTTGCTTCCCACATAAGCCACGGTTTCCAATAAATCTGAAAAATGGGTAGTGAATAAATTATCAATGATTAATAGGAAAGTCTTTAACTTGCATTTACAGAGCAATTTACTATAAAGCCCGTTAGATGAATTGTTTCCTGTATGACTCATCACACTGACAGCTATGTCAAAGCGACATTATGCATCTAATCAATTTAAAAAAAACATCATATGTCCAACTTACGAGCTTTCTGAGAAGTTGATTAGCACGCCAACATACGGTATTGATCCAACCAGAAAATTGGCAGACACATTTCTTCAAGATGACCAATAATGAGATCACAAACACAGAATCATAGATATCAGACTATATATTTCAAGCAGGAAGCTATTCAATAAACAAAAACTATACCAAGAACTGGAGTAAAGAAAAGAAGATGGGCTGCTTACAGAGTACTAAGCTTGCTCAACTTCCCAAGGGAGATGGGGATATTTCCACCGAGTGAATTACTTGAAATGTCTCTGTGACGAAGATCTTATATATATAAAAAAAAAAGATAAAAAAAAAATTCTGAATCTACATGTGAGATACCAAACTAATTCACTTTTCCCAAGTGCAGATCGATGAAATTAGAATTTAATATGACATCATACACTAGCTGTTTTCAGCAAACTATTGGATGTGAAGTAATTAAAACCATTAACAAATGGCCCAAGCTAGAACAAATAATAAGTATCTCATTGTAAAAATTCCAGGAGAAAGGTTAAAACTTACAAATTTTTCAGTGCCGAGAGATTCCCCAATTCATTGGGAATGAACCCACTAAAGTAATTACCCTGCAGGAACCTGAGGAAAACAAATAAAAATCACAACTCAAAAATTTTATTAGCATTTACAAAAAATATA